GACCCACTCACTTCTTCCGAGCTGTGTCAGTCTGAGAGGTTAGGCAAAGATAAACATGCTCTTCTGTGCATCTCCTCCACTCTCAATCTCCTACCAGCACTACTTCATTTCTGATACCAGACCTGGAGGTTCTCCACACAGCAAACAACTCTGCAACACCAGCTAGGTGTCCTACAATTTAACTCGAACCTGGCACTATCTGCCTGGAGATAGCATCAGATCCCACAGATCGATCCCACAAGACTGCCCCCACTTCAGATGCGGATTGCAAGTCCAGGTGTTACCTGTCCTTCTAACTGAATGGCTATAGATCACAGGTTCCTATGACCCTCTCTTTGGGTTAGATTAATTTGCTAGAGTGGATCACAGAACTCAGGAACACAGTTTACTACTAGATTACTTGCTTATTAAAAACGATATAACAAAACCCAAATATATACTTACTATAAATCACCATATCACCATAGACCATGGTAATACCCTGGATAAAAAGGAAAGTGAAAAATTTGGAGTAAAAATAATATGGAGCAACATGTATTGAGTGCTCACACATGCCAGGTGCTGGCTAAGGTTTTATTTCCTTCAATCCTCATCAGAACCTACAAAGTACGTACTGTTATTCCCAATTTGACGGTTAAGGAAACTGAGGACCAGAGACAGGGTGCCTGGGGTCACCCAGATGGTATATGGTGAAACTAGGCTCAAATCTGGACAAGCAGGGCTTAGAGCCCATGTCTGAGAAGGTTTTCATCCCTCTGGAATCAGCAGCTTCATGAAGCAACTTCATCATTTAGCTTAACAAATTCGCATGATCCCCTGGCTCCTAAAATGCACCCTTCCCTTGTTTCAGACAGTGGTTCCCACTAACACCAGGAGTTGACTACAGTGACTGGAATGAGGAGGAGGAACAGATCATAAGGAAATTAGAAGTGACCACCTGAAGGGACAATAGGAAAGATTAATTTGGGAAAGTTTCACAGAAGGAAGACGCCATGTGTACATCACGTGCAAATCATGTGCAACTCTGCAAGGTGGAAATGATACTCTCTCATCACCTCTTGTGAGCTGGTATGGTACCTCTGTGGGCATGACATCTGCAGCCCCTCCCTGCGGGGATTTTAGGAGGAAAGATGGGATGGTTGCTGCTGATGTTGGAGCGGAACTGGCTGAGGTGGGTGGTTTACTACCTGGGAGTGTCCCACTGGGAGGGAAGGAGATAGATGTTGGCAAAGATAAGCAAGGAATGGGAACAGGTGAGACAAGTTCCTGGGAAGGTGGCCAAGACCTCAGGGCCAACTTTTGTGCAGGTTCCTATTTTGAGAGGGTCAAGGTTGAGCCCTTGTCTCGCAGGATTCCTCCTCCTCTGAACCCCAGGGTGCCCTGGCCTTTTCCAAGAGCTTTACTTCTTGTACTGACCTTTGCAGAGAACCTTCCATGAGCCAGGACTGTGTTGGTTCCCCAGGGCCTTCAAAGATGAAGTCTGCTCTCTGGGAGCTCTCAAGTTCGTGGGAGGTAGGATGTCAAACGCTCATCAACAAGGAGGCTCTGGGGTTGGACTGCCGGCCTTGGGCCCCAGGCTATACAACTTGCTGCTGCATCACTGTGGCAGGTTACCTAAATTTCCTTTGTTCCAGTCTGCTCATCTGTGAAATGATATTTACCTCACAAAGCAGCGGAGAAGTTTATAATTAGAATGGATGTAAAAGCACTTAGCAAACTGCCTAGCTCATGGTAAGCACTCGATAAATGTTTCTGTTATAAGCATGAAGTGGAAGGGACAGAAGTGAGGTAAGGGGTCTGGGAGCACAGAGGAAGGAGTGCCTAACTCTGCCTGGAGCAAGAGCTGGTTACTGATGACCTCACCAAAGGAGTTATTTAAACCAGGGGCTTTGGTCTAGTTGGGAGGAAGTCAGAGAATGGGCATCTTGAAGATGTTGCCCAGGTGATTCTGATATGCTATCTGCCCCTGAGCCACCAAGAACAATTAACTACTCTTTAAAAGTAACTATTGTTAAAAATTACATTTCATAAGCCTTGCAAAATAGAGAAAAGAATCACCATCCCCCAATCCATCTCTCATTAGTATATGATGCCCCATCTTTTTCCTCATGAAGTTTGTTTTTGTTGTTTTAATAGTTTTTAAAAAAAATAATTTATTTATTTATTTTTGGCTGCATTGGGTCTTCGTTGCTGCACGAGGGCATTCCTCTAGTTGTGGCGAGTGGGGGCTACTCTTCATTGTGGTGTGCATGCTTCTCATTGCGGTGGCTTCTCTCGTCGCAGAGCACAGGCTCTAGGCGCTTGGGCTTCAGTAGTTGCGGCATGCAGGCTCAGCAGTTGTGGCTCGCGGGCTCCAGAATGCAGGCTCAGTAGTTGTGGTGCATGGGCTCAGCTACTCCACGGCATGTGGGATCTTCCCGGACCAGGGCTTGAACTCGTGTCCCCTGCAATGGCAGGCGGATTCTTAACTACTGTGCTACCAGGGAAATCCCAGTCATTTTAATTATAGTGCATGTGTTAGTTCCTGTTTTGCATTTTTGTCTTACTATGCAATCATAAGCATGTTCACTACATTGTTTTCCTAATGGATTTTTACTTTAAACTGTTTTTCCTAAATATAAGTGGTTTATGTTCTCTTAAAAAAATTCCCAGTCTGAATTGGTATAAAAAAGAAAGTGCAAGTCTCAGTAGTCCTACTACTCAGAGATAATCACTGAGCATTTTTATGTGTTCTTCTAGATTTTTTTTTTTTTGGAAATAAACACATATATACTTTTTAAGTTTAAAAAGTTATTTTAGGTTATTTTAGAATCTGTTTTTCACTTAATTATATATGCAGCATAGATAGGTTTCCAAGTCAATAAGTATAGTCATACGTAATTGTTTCTAATGACTGCACAGATTTAATTTTATGTCTATATCAAATTTATGTAACTAATAATTTATTGCAGGATTTTTAAGTCGTGTATACATGTGTGTGTGTACTTCTCCACCATGTGGATAATTTACTTAAACATTTAGCTATTTTTGGATATTTAAGTAGCTTTTCTTCTTTTGTTTTAGCTATAATAAGTAACAATGCATTGAAAAATCTTGAGGAATATGGCTTTTCCCATATTTTGAATAATTTCATGGAGTGGAAGTATTGGGTCAAAGGGCAGGGACATTTTATGATTCTTGATTTGTATTACCAAGGTGCTTTTTCAAAGCTTTGTTTGTGCCAATTCAGATACTTTCAGCAATGTGTTAGTACCAGTTTCTCACCTCCCACCCCACTATCAAAGGTGGTAGATGGAGGGGGGATATTTTCCCTAAGCAGCAAAGGAGGTGGACTAAAGGAGACTAGATACAGAGAGAAGAGGGGAGAGTGAACATAGGGAATGGAGGGAAGGAGAAAGGAATAACCAGAAACAACCATTTGCCTGTAATTTTTTCCAGTGGGAAAAGTAATTCATGCTCCTTGTAAAAAACCCACTTTTCCATAAATATTTACATTTAATATGGAAAGTCCTCCTCTGGTGACAGGCTCTGCTAACAGTTTATGTATATTATTCCATATTATTTCTTTTACTAATATTAATGTATAACTTGTTTTTAAAGATCTAGCTTCATACTATACACAACATAGTGAAACATTCCTACTGGAGATTATATCTTAGGCACCTTTGGAATGATTACTTTAAGTGTGCAGATAATTTTTAGTTTAAATATCTAATTAGAATCGAATGAGAAGCAATACTGCCCCTTTTCCCTGCCAGAGGGCTCTCCCTATTCCTCTGCAGCAGTCCCCTGACCGCAGCAGCAGTCCCTCGGAGCCAGTTCTGCGAGGCCTTCTGCTGCCTCTGTTTCCCTTTCCCCTGGCTGCTGCTTAGGGGGTAACCCCAGGCGACCTGCGGACCTTCTGTGGGTTGGGAAGCCAGTAGCCAAGGGCGAAGGCCGGTAGCTGCTCACAGCCCTCTGGGGGGCCTTAATTGGGCCCTCCTTGCCCTCCACTTCCAGAGCCTCAGTGCCTAAGATTAACCCAACCATTGTTGCAAAACTCTCCTGTTCGGGCAGAACTAAACCCATCGCCTTGGGGCAGGACTGACCTGACTTTCCTGTCTTTATGGCTTCTCTCCGCAGGTCGGGACACCACTGCCAAAGTGACAACGGCAGTTCCAAGCGCTCTGACCGGCTTTTCGCGGAGCCTATTTGGGCTCAGGAAGTCCCACACCTGGCCTGGGGCGTAGCCCTCACGTAACCCGCAAGCTCTGGACCACCCGGTCTGACTCAGTCTCTCAGCTTCCGCAGAACACCTTGTCAGTCCCGTGACTCAGTTTCTCCATTTGCTCACGCGCGCCAACAGCGTGAGGCACCTGTGAGGAAGGCGGAGGTGCCTCGGACGCTTCTCCAGAGTATGTGCTCCCGGGCGAAACCCCAGAGACGGGCATTTACGCCGCCCAGAGCCCTCCTTCTGGACTTGTCTTGCACTGGACCTGGTAAAGAGTCCGTGCTGCCTGGGGTGGCAGTGATTCGGCCAGGTGCACCGGCAGGACTCCTTGAGAGACACCCTCCTGGGGCCGGCCCGCCATGGTTTTTGAAGGGCCCAGGCCGTAAAGGGGCTGATGGGGAGACGACCGGTGCCCTCGTCCGTGCCCACTGCCGGCCGCCTGACGCAATCTGGGACGTCCTTGCTGCACGTCTGAGCTGGGGAAACCTCCCCAGCCGTTGCATCACTCCTTGCCAGGTTTGCTACAGAGGTGGAGCCGAACCAATCAGCGGGCGCGCTGGGCCCAGCGCAGGGAGCGCAGTTACCCATTCAGAGGGCGGCGCGGTTAACCTGGCAGCAAAATCCTAAGGTGATTGGCCAAAAGGGAATTTGCCCCGCCCCAATAAGCGCGGCAGCTGGCCGCGGTGGGTGGGGCTTCCCGGCCGGAGGGTTTAAAGGGGACCCCGGACCGGACAGCGCAGCTGGAGCAGTCAAGCTGTGCCAGGTCAGGTGGGTACGTCTGTGGTCCTTCCGTGCCCGCGCCGGAGACCAGCCCCGGAGGCCGCCCGGGCCCGTCCCTGTGTCGGGCACCATGAAGCAGGAGTCTGCAGCTCAGAACACCCCGCCCGCCTCACCGCCCCCCTCGCAGCACCCCCAGGACGACTGCGACCCCCAAGCGTTGTGGATTTTCGGGTACGGCTCCCTGGTGTGGAGGCCCGACTTCGCCTACAGCGACAGCCGTGTGGGCTTCGTGCGCGGCTACAGTCGCCGCTTCTGGCAGGGAGACACCTTCCATCGGGGCAGCGACAAGATGGTGAGCATCTGCCCATGCCGGGGTGAATGACGGGGGTGGGGATGGGATAGTGGGCACCGCGCTGGTGCCCTGGAATGTCAGGGTCTATCTGGGCAGACGGTGACTCCGTCCCGATGGGGGAAATATGTAAACCTTGCTTACATATTTTGGCTTAAATTTGTGTGCCCAGTGGGTCACTGTGTGATGGCTATAGGCTGATCCTGTGGATCACCGTGTTGATGAATATTTCTGATTATCAATCTGGGCCACTGCCATGTGTCTACTTCTGTTACATCTATGCATCATCCCCCTGGATGAGTGGGGCTCTCTGAGGCCTGGGACAGAAGGGTTACTAAGAGTTTTCTCTACCAGTGATGGCAGAGCTCATTGCTAATTTATTTTTTTTCAAAATCTCTCTTCCCTCCTCAGCCTGGTCGTGTGGTGACCCTCCTTGAAGATCGTGAGGTAAGTGCCAGAGTCAAGAAAGAGACCCAGCATGGAGGGGTGCAGACAGACAGAGCTTGTGGATCCTTGGCTGCAGGCTAGATTAGATGCCCCGCAGGCTAGATTAGATGCCCCGCTGGCTGAGGGGAAGGGTGGGTCTAGCTAAGTGCTTCTCATAAGAATCACCTGAGGATCTTGTTAAAATACAGATTTTAATAAGATTTAGAGTGGCCTGAAACTCATTCCTAACAAGCTTACAGGTGATGCCATTGTTTCTCAGACCATACTCTGAGTAGGATTTCTGTTCTTTCAGAAAGGCTAGACCACCTTACCAACCCGTGTTAAGGGAGGATGAGGGCTTGATATATTGCTACTAGAGGGCTCATCAGCGCTCTGCCCACCTCCCTTACAAGCACAGTACTGGGGTGGGACCAGAAGGAGCTGTGTGACTGACCCCAGTGCCCATGTTTTCTCCTAGGGCTGCACTTGGGGTGTGGCGTACCAGGTGCAAGGTGAGCAGGTGAATGAGGCCCTGAAGTACCTGAATGTGCGGGAGGCAGTGCTTGGCAGCTATGATACCAAGGAGGTCACCTTCTACCCTCAAGATACCCCTGACCAACCACTCAAGGCATTGGCCTACGTGGCCACCCCGCAAAACCCTGGTTACCTGGGCCCTGCGCCTGAGGAGGCCATCGCTACGCAGATCCTGGCCTGCCGAGGCTTCTCTGGCCACAACCTTGAGTACTTGCTGCGCCTGGCAGACTTCATGCAGCTCTGTGGGCCCCAGGCACAGGACGAGCACCTAGCGGCCATCGTGGATGCTGTAGGCACCATGCTGCCCTGCTTCTGCCCCACTGAGCAGGCTTTGGCACTGGTCTGAGGGGCTGAGCCCCTACATGGACACAGGGGCCAGGTCCCCACTCCAGTGCATACAGACAGACTTGATATAGCTGGAGCCCACTGAGAAGACTTGGTGGGCCGACAGGGGCCTCTCTTAAGCTCCTGCCTGTCCGCCAGCCCCCAGATCTCCTACCTGACACTGACTTACTACTTGAAACTTTATTTATTGCACCATGTTGGTGTGGTGGGCAGGATGGGGGGGCCTGCCCTAGATATAGGGGCCCTGCTGAGCGGTGCCTCACCCCAGGCGCCTGGTGCCTGATCAGATTCCCCCCAGTGCTGCTGCTATCCCCATACTACCCAGGCCTCCACCTCCCCAGGGAGCCTCCAAGAGCCTTGACCCTCTGCCCCCCACTCCAGACCAACCATTCCCTAGCCCCAGAAACAACACCCGCCAAAGGTCCCAGCTTGCTGGTGAGGGTAGGAGGGAGTGAGGAGAGGGGGCCCTACAAGAACTGAGGCCCCTGCCAGCCCTGCTCATCCCCCAGGTCCCCAGGGCAGAGCTGGATCTGGAGGCCAGACACAGCTGCTGAGGCTGGGCCTAGGCCTCTTACCCATTTGGCTTTGTTTCCCTGTCCTTCTGTCTGTCTGGGCCACTCCTGTCTGTCTGTCGGTCTGTTTCTGGGAAGCTCATCGGTATAGGCCCTGGCACCTTCCCAGTCTGTCCCATACTATAATCCATAAACTGATCTCATTATCGGTGCTGTGTTGGAATGTGGTTCTTTCTTCAGATGGGGTTTGGGGTGAGTGAGGTGCTGAAGGCCTGGAAGGCTCGTAAGAGGGGAAAGGGCTCCCTCTTCATCCCCATGCCTCTGTCCCAGAGAGGGGGCTGCTGAGCAGGCAGGACTACCAGGTTACATCGCTCCTGTGATCACGATTCATGTCTTAGTGCACACAAAGAATGCCCCCGCTGAGGCATGCAAATTCAGCCTGGGCAGCTCTACTTGGCAGCCCTGTGAGGAGTCCTTGCCACCGACTTGGTACCCGGTGTCTCCTCCCAGCTGCCTTGAAGGGGCTGCCGGGCTTGCAGTTCAGACCAGGTCTTCCTCCAGTTGCAGGGTTAGCAGCTGCCTCTTCCTAACGGTGAGGCTAGACCTCTGGCTTCCTGCTAAAGGAGCCATGTGGGCTAAAGGAGCTTAAAGGGTAAGGTGATGACAACTCGTGAGACCATGCTGACAGTGCAGGCCTGGAGGACCTGGTGGCCCTTTGACTTCTGAGGTCTAGGTGCTCATTCTTGCCTCCTGTGCCTGTGGTGTGGGCTGTGCCTTCTCCGTTACCCTGACCCACCAGGACTCAAGCCCATGATGGGATGAGTTGCCGGGCACCCTCTGGATTGCTGCTTGTTCCCCATCTGCCTGCCCCTGGCTACTCTTCCCTCAACCTGGCCCTCCAGGTGCAAATCCCAGCCCCCAAGGTCTCAGTCTGGCCCTGGGCTCCTCAACTGGGAGTGGCCCCTCAGTGGATTCAGCCTTTACTCCTGGACCTGCAGAATGGGTGCAGGGCCCAGACAAGGCTTTTGCAGCAGTAGAGCCTGGCTCCAATCCAGCCCATCCCTCACTTGCCCAGTGACCTCCAGAAAAGTATTCAGCCTCTGAGACTCAGTTTACACTGGGATGCTGTGTGGTATGTGTTGCTGCCCCTCTTGTGGCTGGTGTCCTGGTTTGGTCTGGGTGTCCCCAGCAGGGTCAGCTCTGACCAAGCCGAGTGGCCCTTGTGCCTGGGGAGGGTGCCCATGTGTTGGCAGCCTCATGTCTTAGCCATTGATGGGAAAAGTGTGGAGTCCAGCCAGATTCTTCTGGGAGCTCGGTCAGGACAACACATCCGGAGGAGGCAGCGGGTGGCAGGGAGCCCTGGACAGCCACCTCCTATGGCAGGGTAGGGCCAGACAACCAGTCTGGGTGCTCAGAGCAGAGCCATGCTCTATATGAATGGCGCTGGGGATTCGGAAGGTTGCTTGCCAGCTGCACATGGGCTCGCATACTTCAAGCCATTCATTCAGCAGGTATTTACTAAGCTGCTGCTACATACCAAGCACTGATCTTGGCACTGGGGATAGAGCAGAGAAGAAATCCTCCTCCTCAAGGAACTTTGAATCGTGACCATTCAGCATGATAAGTGTCATGGTGGGAATAGGGCACTCAGCTTAGAAAGGGCTCTTGACCTGAGAGGTTGAGGGAGGTCAGGGCAGGCTTTCCAGGGGAGAGAATGATGGGGCCGAGAGGGGGTCTCTAGTGATCAGAGGTATGGAACAACTTGTACCAGAGTGGGGTGCAAGGTCAGACCAGCTGGGACAGAGTGGCATGGGGAAGGGGACATGGGGCGGGACAGGTGGCAGGACCTCATCCTGCTGGCTGCTCTGGTGAGCTGTGCTGTGGAGGAGGCATTCCTCCTGGGTTGCTGGGGGCCCCTGTGGATTATGAGTGGGGAAGAGACTGCATGAAAAGGAATACTGGCTGCTGTGTCAGATTTGAGGAGGAAGGTCAAAGGCCAGGGAGAGGGAAGGTGGCCTGAGCTGAGGGTTGCAGTGGGAATGGATAGGAGGATGGATTTGAGAGCGATTTAGGGAGTGAGGTTGGCAGGATTGGTTGTGGCTGGTTGATGAGGAGAGTGAGGAAGAGGGTAGAGGGCCAGGGTTCCTGGTGCAGAGGCAGAGTTGGAAAGGGTGTAGGTGGAGATCTGTCCTGTGTGAGAGTGTCTGCCCTGCGGGGGCCTGTGGGGCAGTGGCATCCACATGGATGTTCAGGAGCAGCTGGATACGGGGGTCTGGGACTCAGGAGAGTACTATGGGCTGGAGTTAGAGGTGTGGGAGCCACACCCATCAAGACGGTCCTCGAAGCCCTGGGAGTGGAGAGAAAAGAGAACGAGTCCCAGTCCAACCCTGAGGCCCCCCAGCCCTGGTGGGGTGAGCGAAGCAAGAAGAGTTGGGAAGGGCTTCCCTGGTGGCGCAGTGGTTGAGAATCTGCCTGCTAATGCAGGGGACACAGGTTTGAGCCCTGGTCTGGGAGGATCCCACATGCTGCGGAGCAACCAGGCCCATGTGCCACAACTACTGAGCCTGCACGTCTGGAGCCTGTGCTCCGCAATAAGAGAGGCCGCGATAGTGAGAGGCCTGCGCACCGCGATGAAGAGTGGCCCCCGCTTGCCACAACTAGAGAACGCCCTCTCACAGAGATGAAGACCCAACACAGCAAAAATAAATAAATAAGTTACTAAACTCCTACCCCCAACATCTTTAAAAAAAAAAAGTTGGGAACAAGCAGCTGGAGAGCCAGGAGGAGAAACAGGAAAGCATGGTTTTCTGAGAGCCAGGGTCACACTGCTGAGAAGCTAAGGAAAACGAGGACACAGGAGTGTCCACTGTGAGAGCAGTTTCAGGATCAGTGGTGGGAAAACACAAGGTAGGGCTGAGAAGCTAGTGGGAGGAAAGTAGCTCTCAAGAAAGTTGGCTGCTAAGAGGAGAGAGAAGCAAAGGGGTAACTGAAGGTGTGGGGAGGGCGTAGGAGTCTCAGGACCCCAAGAGCTTTTGTTGATGTGTGATATAGCGATTGACAACATTTAGTGTATTAGGAATTGAGAAGTTTAAAACATATTTATCAATTAAATTTAAAAAATAAATCCATTATATGTTAACATATTTTAAAGGAAAAATGATTCTATTTTCCAGAACAAATTTAGTGAAAGGAGTGGCATTGTTTTATTTTTTATTTATTTATTTTTTTGCGGTACGCGGGCCTCTCACTGCTGTGGCTTCTCCCCTTGCGGAGCACAGGCTCCGGACGCGCAGGCTCAGTGGCCATGGCTCACGGGCCCAGCCGCTCCGCGGCATGCGGGACCCTCCCGGATCGGGGCACGAACCCCTGTCCCCTGCATCTTCAGGTGGACTATCAACCACTGCGCCACCAGGGAAGCCCCTGTTTTATATTTTTAATGTCTGACTTTAATAGAAGCAGTTGGATTCTCAGCTGTTTCTGCATTCCTTCTGTGGCAAATTCATATATAGTTCTGGAAAACTCCATTGTACACTTGGAGTCAGTTCTTGGAGGAAGTGTTAGACTTTATCTTGTAGGGAAGTTGAGTTCTGTGGTGATGTTTTAATTTTTTCATGTGTTTTTCCTCCCACAAAAGGGTCTTTGTTTGTTTTTCTTCTTTTTGTTTTGTCTGCTTGTCAAGCAGACAAGTGTTGTGTTCAGGTCTGGGCTTAAGGAGGCTTGTGCTGGTGGCAGGGGAAGGCCGCAAGACGGGCAGGTGCTGGCGAGGCATGAACTAAAAGCAGGAGCAGGGAACATGGGGACATTGCCTGGCAGCCAGTTGAAAACGGGGGACAGGCAGGAGGGAGGAGACTGGGGAACCCCAGGGTTTTGCCGAGAGGGGGCATAAACAGTTCAGGGGCTTGTGGGCAAACACCACTCCAGCCTCTGAGCACCTTTCTAGGGCTGACAGGCTCTTAGGAGTTCTCCAGGTTGCCCCCCACTGGGTTCCAGGAAGGACCACGTTCCTCTGAGGGCTGTCGTTCCCCTGAAGACAGTGGTGGCAGAGAACCAAAGGGTGTGGGGAGATGGACCTCAAAAGGGGGAGACCCTGTCTTTCCCCAGGCCTGGCTCTGAGGAGGGTCAGGGTGCTCCAGGGCCAGGTTGGGGGGGCCCTGTCACAAGGAGAGTGTCCCTGAGGGCCAGGCTCAAAGCAGGAGGGCCAGCCTCCTGCCCCACAGCTAGGGTGACCATATATCCCAGTGTGCCCAGGACGGGCCTAGTTTACTCCTGTTGTCCTGAGGTAATTATTACTTTCACTCTCAAAAGCCTCGAGGTTTGGAGTGTTTAAATGGCATGGTGTCTGTGGAAACTGGGACAGAGCAGGATTGTTTTTTCTTTTTGGCTGCGCCATGCGTCATGCAGGGTCTCAGTTCCCCAACCAGGGATCGAACCCCTGACCCCTGCGGTAGAAGTGTGGAGTCTTTACCACTGGACTGCCAGGGAAGAGGGC